CTGTTTGCAAAGTGATACTCATTCACTTCGTTTGATTAAGCTGTTTTGTGTTACATAGAACTCAAATCGAATGGTTTACTTTTTACGCGCGGGGCGTACGCTTTACTTCTTGATTCGACCTCTTTCAAGCTGAGGTCACGGTCAAAAACATCGACGCGTATTGAGTAAGTGCAGCCATCTTGAGATCTAAGCGATCACGCTAAGGACGCTGAGGGCAGTCCGCTCTACAACTTGTGAAGCGGAGCGCACGCTCACTCCGCTAACTTTACGCTCCAACTCAGAGCGGGCCACGCATGCGCGGTGGGGACGATGCTTCTCGCAGCGCGTAAAGTAGAGCAAAGAGGGCTCATAAAAGTGGCCTACTAATACTCATAGATTACGAACGCGCTCGTCGTGACTTCTCCTGACACTGCCCGTACACCTTTGGCGTATAGAAAAAAGGAACTTTTCACCAGACAGAGCAGCTGTGCTAGAAACAATGGAAACGCGAAATTTACACAAACCATGCAGGGTCTCACCTGTGAGCACAGCTCTAGTTTCGCCAGGGTCAACCACCTATGTTTGTTCATGTCAGCGAGCAGGTGGCCGAACCTCTCGTTGATGTGACGCACGATGAGGTTCACAGAACTGAAGAACACCGACAAGTTCCGTCCAAACGCTCATCCAAGTACGAACAGACGGTTGGGATAGGCCAGTCGAGGAAGAACCATGCAAAGCCTCTCGCTAGATTGGCAACACCCTGCGCCGATCTGTCGGGTGCTGGTATTTGGAGGCCCGCATGCAGAACAGCCAGGTCCTTCTTTAGGCAGGATAGCTTTCTAAAGGGTTTCTTTTCTACGTTGGAAATATCCAGCAAACCGCGTTCGGAAAGGAAGCTTCGGCGCTTGATGGCACGAGAGATACGAATCATAGATTCGATGTCTCGCCAGCTTAATCTCGTTAGTATAAGTCTCCTTCCTTGAGAACAGCGGGGATTCATCGTGCAGTTGCCTTGCTAGCCGTGAGCAACACTGTACTCGTACTACGCAAAAGGATGTACTCCCAATGCGCAAACTTCGTCCTTTTCTCTTATTTTTCTACTTCCAATAAGTAAATCTGTTTCAGTTTTAATTCGAGTGGAGCAGAAGCTACAAGAGCGAGTGCCGGCCTTTCAGCGTCCTTGATAAGCACGCGCGCTCGTGCAGTGCAAGTACCGTTTAGAGCAACATGCTCATGCTTATACCTTCGGCTTCACTATACTTCGTTTCATTTTATCTGCGAGCAAAGCCAAAGCTAGAAGCGCGAGACCAGCGCTTTTTTTGCGTTTCTGCCCAGCTCGCGCGCTCGCGCAAAGCCTGAAGGCACGGAGCTTTCGTGCTCGCGCTTCCAGCTTTGCCTTCGCTCGCACATAAGGTGAAACGAAGTATAGCACACAAGGTGGAACGATTATATTTATATTTTATAGCTTAATATTTCTTCAGGTGTGTGCCTACTCTTTTGCGCTCAATATTGTCGCCTTCGTTTTTACTACCTCTACAATCACGCTACCTTTTACTCTCTTGGTGTTAACGCTTAGGTTTTTTTGTCTTACTAGTACTATAAACGTCCACTTGTGGGGCCACGCAAGCAAATTTTTCGAACCCGCTCAAAACGCTCTTACCCCCCATTCACACTGGAAGCGGATCCGCGTTCGCGAAGCGGTTGCGAAAGCGGTTGTATAAAGATCCAGTGCAATTGCACGCGCATTTGATGTCATCGTGTGCGCGTGCAATTGTACTGAATCCTTATACAACCGCGTTCGCAACCGCTTTGCGAACGCGGATCCGCTTCCAGTGTGAATGAGCCCTTACGCTGAAGAAAAACGCTTTACTAAAACGCGTTTTCGGACCTCCGCTTTCCATTCCGGCGAAGCGGGCCGCGCATGCGCAGTTTGGCACCCTCAGAGCGGAGCGGAAGATGAAAACGGTATACTAAAACTCTCTAATGATGAACAACACGGAAATCGCAAATAAACGGAGTTTATTGTTGCGGGTATTTTTTGCAAAAAACGGAAATGGAAATAAAATTCAGATCATCGAACGGGAAAAAAATAACGAAAAGAAAGCCTGGTCGCTGGAATGTGCGAGAAGCAACTCTACAAGCAAACATATGACATGTCTGCAGGCGTCCTGGAAAGTGTTTCTGGGCCGGTTTTCTGGTGAATACGACTATCTCTACCAACGATTAAAATGGCCACAATAAAGATTTTTGGATCACGTAACTGACTCCGTGGGGACAAGACACTAAAGGTACCTAGCGTTCCAGGCAACTGGCACCCGTAAGTCTGTCCTTGCTTCACTTATTCAGGCCCGATTTTGCGAGCGCAAAGAGGGCGAATATGCTTGAAATGTGAATGAAATTAATCTTCTTATGTACTTTGGGAGCGGTACGTATGCAGTGGTGTTTCTGTGGAAGGTCATGTTGAGCGAGATTTACAGAAAACAAGAGGCAAGGTTTGCGTCCCTGAGTGGAATCGGTTGACCACGCTAAGCAATTTCTGCCCATGGAGCCTCTCACGTGACCTCAAAATCTCTCTTGCGACTATTTTGACCACTGGGAGAGGTAACCGGCCCTGGAGTTTATATTAAGGGTTTCTTTTTTTGCTAGGACAACCTGTCATGGGAGGAAATTTGCATCCGCACTTTACCAGCTCACACTTCGGAAGCAGTAACTTTAGTCATTTCTTAAAGAGATAGGACAACAACCCACTCACCCGACAATTGGTGAGTCAAATTTGAGTTTAACCACACAATAATAGGGAGTTTTAGTAGATCGTTCCGATACCCCTGATAGCCCCGATAACGATACTATGCATGCGCAAGGGAGGCGGTGGCGGAGTATCGGGTATCGTTATCGGAGTCATGGGAACGATCTACTAAAACTCTCTAATCTTTAAAACAAACGCTTTAAACTTTTTTTTTTTTGTTTGTTTGTTTGTTTTTTGCTGCAGACATAACGGATGACCCAAATAACTTCCCATCAGGGCGCTTCAGGTAATGGGCGAAGGAAATTCGGACAAACTATGTAGTAATAAACATCTTACTCGCATGACTTGGCGCCTGGTTACCTCCGAAAACGCTCTGGATGGCATGAAAGATATCTTCTCGTGCTTAAACTGTTGATGACTCCTAGACACGAGACATGTTTTGCGCCTCTTAGATGCAGTGTCGAACGACAGCATGGTCCTTAAGCCCTCTTCACCATCCAGAAGCTTGTAGATTTTCGTGCAAACTCTCACCACGCGTTTCAAATTGGCGGCCCCGTGTAAACATAAAATTAATCAAATACGATTCACAATACCTTTCTTTTTTTTTTACAGTTTGGATGAAGTCCGATCTAGTTTTGGCCAGTGCACAGCCGTACAACGTGGGGTCAAGCACCTGCTGTTATTTAGTTGGGATATTCTTGAAAATGATCAGTTTCCTTGGTGGAAAAAAAAAAGACCGAATGCCCATGGAGTTGAATTAAAAGCATTTGAAAAGTGTAATCCCCTGCACACATTAGTGAGGAAAGCAATCTTTACGTTTTTGCATGCTGGCCTTGTCGAAGTCTCTGATGTAAGATTTTGGCTGAGCGGACCTGATCTGACCTCACCCGACCCGATTATGATATCGTTATTTGGGATGTTGTTTACGTGGCGACAATGAAATCTCGTTTAAAGGCATGTATTATTTTAACATTCGCGTTATTTATGCTCATCGAGATTAGGTGGATTCGTACCATTTGCTTGCCGTTAAGCAGGGCCAAAGCAAAGGCCACAACCCAGCTGCTCCAATATCGTCTTACGAACGTGCTCTGTTTGCGTGTACTTTGGCGGATTCACCAATCGACTACCGAGAACGCGTCATGGTATCGAAATTTTGAGTGCGTTACGTCAGTCTAGCTCAAGAATGAGCCGCCGAAATGTGTTATTTGTTAGTGGGTATGAGGGTCCGTGCGTTTGCTGAGATCGATCTTGCAACAGCTTATTGGCGACTCCAGCGAAACCGAAGCCGCGTTGCGGCAACGCCGAGAAGCTCAGGAGAGGAGGTCGTTTCGACTCTGTCGTCTGCTATCGCTGCTTGGTTCCCGTAGGCAGCATAGAGACAAACATCGTTTAGAGCAATTATTTTTATGCTTCCGCCGTGTCATTCCTGCGCATTGACTAGAAGAACGTTCCTACCGTCGAAAAATCGCTTTGCTTTCATGTGTAACACCGATTTCACGCCGCAGTGAAAAATATTTATGATGGTCCGCGTACTGAACGACGAAGATGACCTCCTTTCGTCCGTCATTTTGCCTGACCAGCGCGCCCCCTATAGTTCGCTGGAGTCGCGAATAGCTAAACCTGCCTACCAGATGGGCTTGTGAAAATCATTTTTCTCTCTCTTTCCTCCCTTCCTCCCGCCCCCCCCCCCCCCCCCCTCGCACACATGCTTTCCAGAACCCCAACAGACCGGCCAGCACATCCAGATGGTCGAGATCAGACGCATCTTGATTCCTGAGCGAAAACACATGTACCAAGGTGCGCTAAATTCAATGGGATTCATTGGAAAGGAAATACTCCACTTCAAGACTATCAAATATAGATTGTTTCAAAAGTGCCTAGAAAAGTATAGCACGCGTGCACACACACACACACACACACGTTTCCAGGAACGAGGCATACGAGAGGCAAGTATCTTGAGCACTGCCTCTGGTGATCTCTGTTCGCATTAACAAACAAACAAATCTCATGTTGTCTTGCGGATGTCTATGTATTCTCAGTTTTCCAAATGAGCACGCAGTCATAGAAAACAAAGTGATACACACTGACTAGTGGATGCACCAGTGACTAGCAGTTACGAACTCATAACGTAATGCAGTCGTAAACGAAGTGGGAGCAACATTTGTCGCATGTGAATCGATGTGGCCACGATATCGTGGAGTGAACGTCACACAATAACTTAGTCTCCAGGGGTTTCGACGGCACGACCTCCCGGTGAGCATCCCGGAGGACCGCGTCAACTTTTACGCTTCTCCTTAGCGACAAATGCTTCCGCCTTAGACTCGGCCCTTGCCACACTTGCGGTCGAACTACGCACAGTCACAACACTGCGGGCACTACTCGACGTCTGGTAGGAGAATTCCTGCGAGAGCTTTTTGACACGGCCTGCAATTGGCAAAGTAGACATCTCCTGTGTGCGGGCTGTTGAAGGACCCGCTTCCTCGGGCACATAGACCCTCGGCTTAGGTCGTTCCCACGATTCACCAGGCTCTCTTGAGAACACGTTCTGCCAACGCATGAGGACGTCGCTGGGAACCCTCCGATGGACAGGAGCCGCAGCTGCGCCCAGCAAAGCCAGACATTCTTGGCTGTCTCTACTCTCCCTACTGCTGCTACTCGGGCTCCTGGCTCTCATGATGCTGCTAGCCCTCCGTCGTTGGCGGCCCCGGCCGACGCCATCGTCATCTTTGGTCTTGCTACGAAGGAACGTCGGTAGAGATGGTGGGACGCTGGTTTCACCGGTGTCTCCTAGAGCCTGAAAGTTAGCTAAGAATTAGATACAAGTGGCCCTTCAACAGAGCGCCTTTACAAAAAGGGCGTTAGAGAAGCCCCTTTAAAGATAAGCTGAAGAGGTCATTGAATTTGAAAATACTAGAAAGTTTTAGTGCAGGCACTTTAAAAATTGTGTCTTCAGTCTTATTTCGATATTATTAGTGGTACTAGGAGCGTCGTCATCGCCAATTCAAATTTCGGCGTACTGACAAAAACTTGCAATGCGGAGAGCGAGTCGTCTGCTTCTTGCGCAGGGGTTGCGGTAACGTCAGAACGACGCCTAGCTCTGCCTGGTTTTGATTGAAAGGATTGTGTGTAGACCACAATGCTAGATGCCTTGAGGTCTAGCCGCTATTTTCATTCAATCAGCCAATAAGAGTTCGGCGTTCTGACATCATCGGAACTGACGTCATCAGCGTGGTCAGATGACCCTTGCTCGCCACTAAGCTCGCTCCGTGATGCCGACGAGGACCCTGCGTCGCTTTGCTCGCCGGGTGTCCCGTCGCAATCGTTGCACGTATCTTTCAAAATAAATGCGGTTTACGTTTACTTCTACAAAGTCCGCTCCCGACTCAGTTTTTTTATATTTTTTTTAACAAAATGATTTGACTACAAGCCACTTTGTTATACCCGTGCCACACGGGAATTTCGAATGTCATTTACAACGAATGACATTTGAACGATCGGCCAATCACCGCGCAACACTCCGAGCGTGGGGCGTTCCACGCGCGACAGACCGCGAGCCGATTCTTCGATCCCACGAAAGTCATTCTTTGTAAATGGCATTCGAGTTGCCCTTGTGGTACGGGTATTAAAAACTGCGTCTAGAAAGAATGTACATTCAACTTCAGGAAGCAACTTATACACCAAAACGGTGTTTACAAACAAGCCCGCTACGTTCATGCCAGGTGTGGGCAAAGCGCGCGCGCAGAAACCAGATGCGGGAGGAGTGAGGTGTTTCCACATGCGCAGTGCCAACTGCAGCGCCACCACAGTGGTGTGACGTCCGAGAGCTGAGTTGGTCTATACTCCGTTTCACTTCCCGTCCTACCGCAGCCGACACCACGATCCGATAGAGTCAATTAAGCGGCGCCAAAACCGCACCTACACGGGGCTCGTCATTTCTGCCCTTTGATTTTCACCGGCAAAGCCAATCACGCGCAAAAAAAAAAAAAAAAGAAGCGCAGGATCGTGGCGCATTCACCGTACGTGATTGGTCAAGTCTGTGATTGCAAACGCACGAAGACGATAAACGCCGCGACGATGCACTTTTGGAGCTGATTGACAGGCTACATCACATAGTAACGTATAGTCATCTTGCCTTCCTGATCTGGTCAGTCTCCTGTAGGTAACTGCTACAGTTTCCGTATACCGCGTACTGGCCTTGAAAGCACCTTTGAAGAGACTCTGACAAGGGAGTTTGGGTATGTTCGTTTCGAAAGAAAAGCAAGGTCAGATACACGCCGTGTGGGTCAACCTTATGGCAGTAAGATGCAGGTACGTCGAATCAGGTGATTCGTCTCCGTTGACCGTAAGATGGATGAGACCTTCCACGTACCTGCGTTGTACGCTCCTTGCGCTCGGATGCATGAGCCGGGTCATCGTCGGCCTGAACACCACTGTCCAGCGAGGCTCTTCTCTTGGCTCGCGAGGGGCGGGAGTCTCCGAGCAAGCTGTCCACGGATCCTGCGCGTTGTGGCGGGCCGGGGACGATGATCAGCTGCTTGGGCCTGTCTGGGGCTTTCTCCTGGATAAACACTACGAACTCCACATCGTCCTTTCCTTCGTCGGATTCGACCTTGTCTGAGGTTTCGCTCTTTGGCTCTTTTCCGGTCTGGCTCGGGTCCTTGGTTGTAGTCTTTTTCTCGGGCTCCTTCGTTATTTTGGACTTATTATCATCGCTATCGTCTGCTTTATGCTTATCTTTATGGAACCCGAGCGTGTCTTTGTCTTCACCACTCATCTTCCGTACTCTGGAGTGTGCACCTTCGGTCTTTTCTGTTGTTTCTTTCGGCAAGCTTCTTGTTCTTTTGCCCTTATCTGGAGGGTCAACTGGTGGAGGAGTGGACGGTGAGACGTCAGGAGCCGGTTCAGGAGCACTACCTGGTGGAAGAAGCGGAGCCTCTGATGTTTCAGGTGCCGGCTTGGACCCTGAACCATCTGAAACGTCGCTTTCCTCGGGCACTGATACGCGTACACGTAACCTCGGTTTCCGTCGCAGCGTCGTTGGTGGCTGGATGTCTGGCAACTTGGGATGTTCCGGATCGGCTGGCGGTGGCAGCCCTGGCGCCGCCGCCGCTGTCGCCGTCGCTGCCGTCAGGATCGCGGCCTTCCTAAGTGGCACGGCCAGGGCAACATCCTCAGTTGTTCCATCAGGCTTGGTCATCGCACCCAATGCTGTGGTTGTTCGCCTCCGCTCTCGATGACGGGCCTGACCGAGTATACTGGGTGGCTTCAACGAGTCCTTCACTAACGCACTCTGAGGGGACGTGACAGGAATGTGTACCGGCGTCATTGGGTCTACGGAGGCATCCAGTTGTGACGACCTCCGTCGTGTGGGTGCAATCACAGTCGCGGGTTCAGCCGACGTTGTCGTCGGAGGTACCGTGGTACAGACGGGTTTGTCCGGCGGTCCCGGTTCGAGTGGAGCGGGCGGCATGGTATCCGGGACCAGTAGTTCGGGTAGGCTATGGCTATGCGTCACTGTCTCTGGGACAGTCATCTCCAGATGTCGGTCGCCGCCGAGGGATTTTCGGCGGTGCCCAGGAACTGTTGAGGAGCCAAGTGCTGACGTCAATAGTAGCGCCGGCTTAAGGGCGGCAGCCATATCAGCAGCGAGGTCGGACGTTGACCTGCAAGTTGGGTGTCTTGAAATGTTCAGTCGCTTATTACGGGCCTACAGCTACTCGCGCCCTCGCACTGGTTTATATCAGTTCTGTTATTGTCTCGTTTCAGCAGTCTAGAAGTTGAAGTTTTCGTTTGATCGGTTAGAGCGATCGCTTCTTTTAATTGTGCCAGATGAATATGGTATATATTCGTGGAGAAAGAAGGTGTCAAAGAAATCGGCGTCTGCTGCGGAAGTAGTTAAAAGCACTGCACATCACATCTAATTGATCCCATTTCACAACGTATGACGCATAAATGTTTGTAAAAAAAATTAACTATTTTATGTATTATTAGCACGATAGAGCCATCAAAACTACACTTGGGGTCTTTTAGCCCCCAACTCTAGTTTCCTTTTGGGAAAGGGGAGGGGGAAGGGATTAGGGGAGGAGGTTCAAACTGGAGACACAAAGGGGGCTACCATGAGTTCCCAATCTAGAGTACGAACCGAAGGCCTATGTTACAATGCACCATTGTTGCATCGGTCTAAACCAGCTTCATCTCATTTGACGCCCGCTGTGCGAAGACAACTAAACAGTATGCGAACCTGCTCTTGAGTCGCAGCGAGGACTTGTCAAAGCGCGGTCTGCCGGAGGTCTCAGCGCAGAAGGACACCTTGGTGCGATGGTGGTGCTTGCGGGGCCGCTTGGCGGGACTCGCGTAGTCTCCGTCGGCACCTGTCCAGGCCTGCACGCGCATGGCCGGCTTGCTCGAGAACAGCTCCCTCAGGAAGGACCGCTGCCCATGCAGCGGACTCGGCTCCGGGCCTTGTCGGTCGCTGCGCCGCTCTTCATGAGCCTGCAGAAGGTGCTTCCTGCACGGAATGCATCCGTAGGGCTGCTGCGGAAACACGCACTCACGACTGCCTTTCCGCGATATACACCAATTTGAAGTTGAAAGTCACACCCGACCTGCGCCCTACGGCGTTTTTGAGCAAAAGCGGTGATTTGGAACTTTCACAACCTGCAGGGGACGCACCAGTTCCTATTTTTATGGCTGCCATCTGGATGATCCTCGTAGAACAGCACTACAACGTTAGTTCTGCGACGTGTCAATAATTCTAATCTTGTCAAATACGAGCGACGTAAAAGCCCTCCCTCATAATTCTAGGTCAGGAAGGTGTAAGCAACCATCTTCATTCTGAGGTCGATCATACTGGAGCTAGAGAGTGCAATTTTCACAGAGCGGTGCCACCACCGCTGAAAGTTGAGAATACTCGCGCACAACTTTTTGTGTCTATGGGGTCAAAGCTATCGGCTCATGGGCTGTCGCGCACATTCAGCGCCGAACAAAGCTGTACAGCACTCTTCACTTCTTCTTAAATGACACAGACACTTGTCCGCGAGTATACTTTCTCATGCGTGTGAACGGTGCCTCATGATTCTTTGGCACAGAGGTGTCGGAAAAACTTCATGCAGTTTGCAGGATGTATTTAAAAAAATGAAAGACGTTTACAATTTTCTCTAGCGCCGAATTAGAGCGCAGCTCTTGAGGAGGAGGAGGCGAGCGTACGGAGGAAAGGGTATGCCCTTCCTCCCCCCCTCCTCATCTGCTGCTCCTCTCCCATTGAGCGGGAAATTTTCGCTAAATTTCCCGCTACGTTCCGCTAAATGTAGCAGGGTATTTTTCAGCCAAAATGTTTTTCCGCCAAATTTAGCCGGGAAATTGTTCTGCTAAATTTAGCGGGAACATTTTTCTGGTAAATTTAGTTGGAAGTGTTCCGCTAAATTTTGTGGAGAATTTTCCTTTTGCTAAATTTAGCGGGAAATTTCCCCGTTAAATTTTAGCGGGAAATGTCTCCACTAAATTTAGCGGGAAATCTCCCCGCGAAATTTAGCGGCAAAATTTTCCGCTATATTTAACGGGAAAATGTTTACCCTAAATTTAGCGGGGAAATTTTTTCTGCTGAAGTTAGCGGGGAATTTTTCCGCTAAATTTAGCGGGAAACTTTCCTCCAAATTTAAAGGGGAAATATTCCCGCTAAATTTATGCTCCGTGTGACGCCACCTCGTGATGTCAAACGTGACGTTACTCGTGACTCTCCTGACGTCACTCGTGCCGTTCGTGACTTCAATATGGGAACGTCCCATAATGCAACGTGCGGTTACGCCGACGGCGATGGCGACACCGCTCAAGCCAGAAACGGGCGCCTTAGTGCTGCGCTTTAAACGCCCAACCTGACTTTAACTGACCCGGCCCGAATTCTTTCCACCCGACCCCACCCTACCCACCCAAGCCGACCCAAGACGAACCGACCCGTATAGGCCAGACCTGACTCCGCCCAACCCGACCTGACCCTGCGGCGTCGATTTTTGGTCGGTACCTAAGCCTGCTAAGGCACAAAGACGCAGCACTTCGGCGTGTCAAGGTGTTCAACGAACACCTGAAACGACTTCGGGCCGTGCTCCAAGCCGTCAAGACCGCCGGTCTGTCACTCAAGCCAACAAAGTGTCGGTTCGCCTATGGGGAGCTAAAGTTCCTCGGCCACGTCGTGAACAACAAAGGTGTTCTCCCTGACCCCGAGGAAACCCGCGCCGTAGCTGCCTTTACTCCGCCGTCTGACGAGAAGGCCGTGAGAAGATTCCTTGGACTCTGTGCCTACTACAGACGATTTGTTTGGGATTTCGCCAAGCTGTCTGCACCGCTGACGAACCTCACGGAGGACACCGTGAAGTTTGAATGGACCGAAGAGCACCAGCGGTCATTCGATGAGCTCAAACAAAGACTCCAGACACCCCCGATTCTTGGCTGCTTCGACCAGTTCGTTGAAACAGAGATCCACACGGACGCCAGTAACACCGGACTTGGCGCGGTACTAGTTCAAATGCAAGACGGGGCGGAGCGAGTCATCGCATACGCGAGTCAGACGCTGTCTAAGGCGGAGAAGAACTACTCAACAATTGAAAAGGATTGCCTTGCTGTCGTCTGGGCAATAAAAAAGTTCCGACCATATTTGTATGGAAGTCCTTTTCGCGTGGTCACGGACCACCACTCGCTCTGCTGGCTCGCGAATCTAAAGGACCCCTCCGGACGCCTCGCCCGGTGGAGCCTACGACTGTAGGAGTTCGACATGACCATGGTGTACGAGTCCGGCCGGAAACACAATGACGCCGACTGCCTGTCAAGGGCCCCAGTTGAGGGCGGCCCTACCTTCATCGAAGACGACGACGATAATTGTTTCCTCGGTGCTCTGGATGTCAGCGACATAACAGCACTCCAACGAGACAACCCTGAACTGCGGGCGCGCATCGAGCAACTAGAGGGGCAAGCGAGTGCGGTTTACCGTGCTTTCTTACGAATCCGGCCCACCTTGTCCATACTGCAAGGGTGCTGTACAAAAAGAACTTCGTCAGCAACAACACAGCGTGGCTGTTGGGGTCTCAGGACGACCCAACGGCTGGACACCTTGGCCACAGCAGGACGCTCGCCAGGATTCTAGGAAAGTACTACTGGCCGAGGTTACCCAAAACCGTTCTCCTCTACACTCGATCACGTCAGGAGTGTCAGCAACGTAAGAAACCGCCGACGAAGCCGTCGGGACTTCTGCATCCGATTTCTCCCCCGTCCACGCCGTTCCAGCAGTTCGGAATGCATTTACTTAGCCCTTTCTCGCCGTCAACGTCGGGAAACCGCTGGATAATCGTCGCCACGGATTATTTCACACGGTACGCCGAGACGAGAGCCCTTCCATCAGGTACGGCTGTTGAAGACGCCAAGTTTTTCATCGAGTCCATTGTTCTCCAGCACGGTGCCCCTGAAGTCCTCATTACAGACCGTGGATCATCGTTCATGGCCCGGCTGACGCAAGAGATTTTTCGTCTCAGTGGCGCCGGCTACCGTCGAACCACTGCGTACCATCCGCAGACAAATGGACTAACAGAACGGCTAAACAAAACTATCGCCGACATGATCTCCATGTATGTCGACGTAGAGCACAAGACTTAGACGGGGTGTTACCCTACGTCACGTTTGCTTCAACACGGCGGTGCAAGAGACCACAGGAGTAACCCCGTTTCAGCTGGGGCATGGCAGAAAATTAACGACCATGCTTGACGCTACCCCACGAACCAGCTGACGATGGGATCCCCGACGCCCAGGTGGTTGCTCAACGAGCTGAAGAAGTTCGCCAGCTCGCTCGACTTCGAATTCAAGACCATCGTGTCGACGCTACTCGGTACAATCTTCGCCGGATCGACGTTGGCTTCAATCCCGGAGACTGTGTGTGGGTTCGGACCCCGATGCAACGACGTGGTCTAAGCGAGAAACTCCTGAAGCGCTACTTTGGACCCTACAAAGTGCTTCGTCGACTCGGGGATCTGAACTACGAGGTGATGCTCGACGGAACACGGACTTCATCACGCCACCCTCCACGAGGGGAAGTCGTCCACGTCGTGAGGCTCAAGCCGTACTACGCGCGATAAGACTGTGAACTGTGATCCTGTGCAACCCTTGATGGGATTGTGTTTATCTAGCCTTCGTATTTTCTCATTATTTTGTTTGTCTTGCTTTGTTTTGTTGCCTTTCGCGCGGCATCGAGACGATGCCTTCTGAAATGGGGGAAAAGGGGGGGGGGGGGGGGGGCACGCGCGTCGGCGAGCGTGCGCGTGCGTGGCCGAGTGGGTACCGCGCTTGACTCTCGTGCGTAAGCCCAGCGTTCGATTCCTGGGAGCGACGCGTCTTTTATTTATTCTTTCAATTTAGACTTCTGGTAAATTCGAGAACCCTGTTGGGCCTGCGAGGTCCGAATTTTCTACACGCCGAAACTTCTACGCCGATTGTTCCAAGAGCCTACGCGTGTACATAAGGGGCTCCGCGTGGCGAGCCGCAGTCAGTCTCGCCCTAGCTTTTGATCGTGCTGTTACGCCAACTTCGACGTTCGCGACGCTCTGTTACTATCTTCCGTTTCTCTTTATTTTTGGGTGAGGGGGGGGGAGCACAAGTTTACCTTGCTGAACGTTTCAGTTTCCGCAGTTATTCCTTGTCCTTCACCTCGTCATTCGTGACACTATATTGGAAAATACAGAAAAAGGTGGAAAAGGATTCCTGTTCCAGTCACGGGATGGCCGCTCTCCGAGCTGGGCGAAAGCATAACTAACTAGCGGAAGTTCCATGCTTATCCCGGAAGTGGGCCGTCTGCTGGGATACTAATATGGTAAATTCCGCTCGCTGATTTCGAGCGCTCCAAAAGCGCCCCTTTTGGAGCGAGCGTTTTTCACTGGTAGATCCGGCTCAAGTCTCTAGGAGCGCGTCCAACAGCGCCGAACTTGCTCCGTGGGATTTCAGGGAGCTTGCTTGGTGGAAGTTGACAAAAGCGCGCTGCGTCATTTCCTTTAACTCGGCGGTGCGCATGCGCGGCGAGGTCGCCGGACCGGGCGGGCCGTCGGGTTGGATCTGTTCGGATGCGACGCTTGTTTACGCGGGATTGTGACGGCTCGAATGATCCTACCTCGCGTAGACCAGTGGTGCAAAGCCGGGACTGGAGCGTTGCAAATCGTAAGCGCCGACAGCTGAAATCGTAAGAGAGGGGGAAAAAAATTACACAAAGTCCGAAGGAGGCAGAGGCAAGGTTAGGCCTGGTTCATTTTGCCGCCACTGCTTGTTTACCTTTTTACGCTGCATACCGCCGGCGTTTCCTCGTGCAACAGAGCAAGAACAAATTAGGCAACGACCGTGCAAGTGATGGTTTGTAAACTCTATGCGTTTATTAATGTCGTACCAGCAATCAACTCCACCGATTGCGATCGGTGTGCGTGCCCCGCAGCTGCGAGGTGGCCGAAAGGTATGTGACGGTGACGAACGCGGACGTTTTCTTTATTATTTGTGACATGGGCTCCGTGGTACGGATATTTTCGCCCGGCCTGTGTCGTGTGTTATTTCTGCAGCTAAAGAGCGACAGTTATGTGACTGGTCGTCAGAAAGCTCAGTTGGCTGAGGCGTTGGTTGGCTTGTCAAGTTCGAGCAGCGGCCATTTTTGAACGGCCGACCCTCTCGGACAAGTCGTTCCAAAAATGCGGGTCTATCTTCCGCTCGTCGATTTGGAGTGGGTCCCACGGAGATGAATTTTGCCTCCCTCGAGAATTTCGGAAAGCGCTCCGGATCTTACAGTGGAAATTCGCCATTAGTCCATTCAGTAAACTTATTAGTTCACAATTTCTTGAATATATAAATGGTTTTATTGACCCCCTTTAGAATAAAATCTCGAACAAAATGGGGTGTGTGTATGTTTATACAGCCTAGAACTTAGTCTGCTTCAACTGGCGACTTGTATCTCAGCTGTATATGAGGAATTTAGCCAGTGCGACACAACCGCTAGCCTGGGGTCTTTAACGTGCATCACGCTGTAGTGACACACGACCGCACGCCAGTACGATGCTCCTCCAGATCGAAACGGGCAGAAGTGGGGATTGAGCCCAGGATCCCTGGGTTAAATCTCGAGAATGAGACCTTTAAAGTGGGGATTCGCGCACTTGATATTAAAAAACCCTTAGATTATCCCACATAAAACGGTTTCCCAGAAAACTTCTCAGGTCTATGTGCGCTGCAAGCGTTTTGAACATTGCTTGGAGCAACGCTCAGAAGACTTGTAAAATCTGTCAAACGCTCACTTTCGGCACAAGCCGCTTACTTCCGGTGGCTTCATACTTGTTCGCTCAATGTGCCATCTAGCCCCTTAGTGCAGTTCTGTGCATGATTGAAGCCAACACGCCAACAAATTGTTTTCTCTTGCGCTTGATTTTTGTTTCTTCCACCTTGATTTGTTTCTTCACCACCCAAGCCTCAGACATCTTACTTTTTTTGTTTTTATAGTCCGGGAAGCACATCCTTTTCATGACATCAATTTTATACGAATGGCGTTCCCACGCTGCAGCTATTTGTCCTTTTTTAATACAACCACAAGGGTAACAGAATCACTAATATTATACACATATGCATGTTAAATCCAGGGCCACAAAGAAAATAAACTGGGCCACCACAATGTAACAGTCTGTTCTTAAGGTTACAAGCAGACTGCGTCACTGCACAGCGCGGCGAAGTCAGACCTCACCACTTGCAAGTTCTACCGTGTTTCTCACTGCGTTTAAAAAGGCTGCCATCAAAACTACCAACGTAGTTTCTGCGATAAATTCTCATCGTTAGACGCTATAGTCACTGCCAGTATAAGTTGGCAGCCTAGCTGGTTAAATATCTAAAAAAAAAAACGTTAGCGCGAAAGACAAGGACAGGTAGAAGACCGGACAGGCGCTTCTACTTGTCCTCGCCTTTCGCGCCTTCTACTTGTCCATGTCCAGCTTTCTACTTGCTGCAATCTGTCTTTCGCGATAACTGTTTCGGACTCACTGGCAGGTAGAGAACGACAGGTAAGTCCTCAGCTTGTCCCACCTCCCCCCAGCGCTGGCTTCATTTCTCCAATAAGGCTTCGCTGTCTCGTGAGCCTCGAACGTACGCGCACCCAAAGCATGTCGAAAGGCAACGAGCGCGTGCATCCCAAAGAGACGCCCTGCCGTTCTTAGCCTGTCAGTGACTAGAGCATCGGTGCTTACATCGCAATAACGCCGCGCCGATGCTTCGCTTGTCAGACTGCGTCGCGCAGTGGGAATAGACCCTTTTTCACGTTTACAAACACAGGACCAATTCTTGCATCACAGGGGGCTTCTAGTCGCTCTGTTTTGGCGAGCCTCCTAAGCTGGCTTATGCAGCGATTCTCCAGGACGTTTAGATGCTCAAGAAACGGCGAAGTTGGAGATTTATCGGGGGCTGCAACTGCGCTATTCAACATAAAATAGATAATAGGCCGTCCTACGGGATTGTTGGAGATTATTCAGCAGGTCTCTCGCTAATCGATCCTTTAGCGAAGCATCTACAGAATAGATGAAGTAGTTCATGGACGTTGCAAGGAGCCGCGCAATGAGGGACTCTCTGTCCTCCCATGTAGCTAGAGGTTTTGTGGGGGCGCAAAATGCTGCAGTGCCACCGTCTGGTTCTTTTATGGAAAGGGTCTATACATCAGGAGACCAGGAGCGCCCTTTTGTGGGGCCTTACTGTTGAGATCCGTCGGAGAGGCCGTTGGCGTCCTCAGAATCCTCCTGGCTTCCCGACGGCGAGGACCCCTTGAAGTAGACGTGCAGCTTGGAGTCTTGCGCGAGGCCGCTCTCGACGTTATCGTTAGGAGGACTGGTAGAGCGGCGATGCATCAACGTCCACAGCGAGGACGACGACCGCTTGGAGAGTCCGTGCCGACCGTCGTCGTCCTCGCCCCCGCTGCCGCCGTCTCTGGGGGAGTCCTCGTCGTCCTCTTCGGACATCTCCGGCACCACCATGCCGCGCTCCTTTTGGGGCACGCTGCACATAAAGGTGAGGCGTAGTCACCTCCCAGCCCGTGAGCACAATCTCAACCAGTCATTAGAAAGTTTGAGTAGACCGTAGACGAGCTTTGATTTCCAAGCGGGGGCTCGTGCTCTAACTTTGAAGCGTGAATCAAGCACGCGCCCGATAGGCCTGCAGTCTGCAACGTACAGTGCAGTAAAACTCCATATTAGGGGTCGTTTCGCAGATCATACGTTTCTGATTGCTGGCCCTGCGTGTTCGTGCTCAATCTGCGCTCAAAGTGATGACCCGAGCTACCACCACGATCTCTTGGGTATATTGGGGGTCTTTGCTGGAAATTTCAAGTGGGCTACAGAATGGCGAGTCAGAGCAAAAGTTTCAAGATTAAGTTTTAATGCTGTAAACCGTAGAACAAGCTGCAAACCTAGAAAACACGAAGCCCTAATCATAATTGATCTCCCTATGATGCGCCCAAACTTCATGGTCTTTCAAAAATGGAGGACTCCGCAGTCAAGAGGTTTTTGTATTTTGCCTAACGAGCTGCCGAAAACACGACTCTCATACTTCAGCAAGCAAGGTCTGTCATTGTCCGATGATTATTAATTCAAATGCAGTACAAAAAATTACGAAACGCATGTTTTGTGTGACACGATCCTAATTATATTTGCTCTGCAGATGATAATGCCAGCAATTGTTCTTCTCTGTCTCTGGACCGCAGCCGACGCTATGACCTGACGAAGCCAATCAACCAACGCTAAAAGTGCACGACCATGGCGCAATCGTTGTCGTTATGGAGGGTACGCAAACAATAGCGCAACCAATCACGTCATCTGAAAAGGGCAGGATCGCGGCGCATTCACTGTGAGGCATTGATTTAGTCACTGATAGCGAACGCGCAAAAGCAAAGGGCGCCGTGACGATGCACTGTTGTTGAAACTTTATAACGTTCCCGGAATTGCACGAAGTTGGAATAGCGGCACGTTTTAATTTCTTTATCTTTATACAAAGTGTTTCAAATAGCGGCCAGGCATGTTCCCCACATGTGGTGCATTTGTACTACAAAATTTGCTAAGAGCAAAATTAACTGAGAAAAAAAGTTAAAAAAAAAGGCTTAACTCCTATGGAAAAGCAGCGAAGCTACCGGTCTTCAAACAGTATATATGCGCCCTCTCGTTTGAAGACCGGTGGTTTCGCTGCTTTTCCATAGAAGTTAAACTTTTTCTTTACATTTTCCTTAGGTAAGTTTGCTCTTAGCAAATTTTATTAAAACAATGCACCACCTGTGGGCTACATGCACCAAATCGTAGCGCGATAGGTTATGAAAACAATTTTTACGGCCGATTTAAAGAGCCTGGTCGCTATTTGAGACACCTTGTACTGTAAAGTAACGTTCTTACTTGTACTAAGTTTTCCAGTTTCTAAGCGCGAGTCGCACGCAACACTCACTGCATGTAGGCCACCGATCCCCGGTACGTCTTCTTCTTGTAGCTGACCGAAGCGGCGGTGTAGGGCAGCTGGTAGTCCATCTTGTAGAAGTACGAGTCCTTGACCAACGGCGGAGGAGGGCCGTCCAGCGTGTCCACGCCTAGGTAGGACACCTGCGCGGCAGCGTGGGCATCGGTGGGCACGTCGGGAATCGATTGGGGAGGGGGAGGGAGAGCCTTACTTTGAAGTGCCTGTCAATTATCCAATTGAGCTCGAAGTCTTCGTCGTCGTCTCCAAAAGGGTTGATAAGCTGCTCAGCCACCTGCACCAGGACGACCTCGACGTGTGTCAAAGAGTGATATGAGAGCCCGCAGGCGGAGTGCGTTCCGGGACGAAATATACGTCTCGAGAATTTGTTCAGTTGTTTCCGAACGCCAAAACGACGCTATGTCTCAGCAGCTGCCGTTTCCCTATTGTATCCTCCTTCCCTCATTTTTCTCTTTCTATTTCTTGTTTCCTGGAAAGGGGACAAGTGGCTATATCCAGACAGTATGGTGCGGATCCTATGCTCAAACGAGTGGCCATACTGTGCGGCGTTAGGTCCACGCAGTATGGTGTGGATATTAGGATCCATCCTTGTGCTGTGCTGTGGTTCCTCTGGGAGTTGTAGACTCAGACAAGTAGGGAAGTGGACGAGAATCAGGGAGACCACAGCTCTTCCAGTTCTTTACTTTCATTCTATTTTCTTGAAACTCTTTCGTTATTCCACATATTAAGAACAAAACCCTGCAGTTGCGGTGCGGCCCGAGTAGGACAATTGGAAACGTGCGTATTCGTGAATGGATACGAGTACACGAAAAAAAGATAAAACATCGAGGATGGGGACGGAAATAGAACTTGTTTTATTCTTTCATGTCCGTGTTTCCGTCCCCGTGCTCGATGTTTTATCTTTCATTTATTCGTGCCAAGTAACAGTACGCGTTCGGTCTGTAGCATCGAATTCCACAGAGAGCCGTAGAAGTACAGTGTTATACACCATGACTACCATAACCCCAAAGAGCCGAAAAGTCTCTTCTGTGGCAAAACGTACGCCTCAATTTACCACGAGCCCTTCCAGTACGACCTAACGGCGCACCATTCTCTACTAAGTTCGGCTGTCAAACACCATAGACGCCGGACATAACTATCGACGCACACAGTTCCCGTACGAATCATCTAGAAATATTGCGAGCTCACGAAACGTTTGAAGCGCGCACGACCACATCCTTATATAGAGTGGTTCAAGTCACCAGGCTCGATCTAAAATGGACCGTAAAAATCGACGCCTGCATGTAGCCATCTAAACTTTTTGTCAAACGTATATTTCACAGGTCGGTTTTTTCTTGTAAAATTACAAAACATAGTTCTCTTTTAGTAAAAAATACGGCCAAGAAACTTGCTAAGGTGTACGGCGGGCGGCGACCCACACGGCTAAGTCCAGTAACGGACTGTGTTTGGCGTTCGTATTGATAGGTGGCGTTGGGAGCAGCGTCTGAAGGTGCAGCCGACCAGCGAAAGAAAGCAGACGACACGCAGACGAAATCCGTTGGCAGCGAAAGCGCCGCCGTTGAGCAGACGCGTTTGTTTTTAGAGCGCAGCTCTTAGGGGCCCGTTTCCGGCTTGAGCGGCGTCGGCGTCGCCGTCGCCGTCGCCGTCGGCGTAACCGCGCGGTGCATCATGGGAAATGTCCCATAATGCACCGCGCGAGCCCCCCCACCGGGGTCACGTGACCTCGTGGGGGGGGGCACGTGACCCCCCGAGGTCACGTGACCCCCTGAAGTCACGTGACTCTCCTGAGGTCACGTGACCCCCTCCTCGAGGTCACGTGACCCCCCGAGGTCACGTGACCCCCGCCGATGTTGCGTGACCCCCGATGACGTCATCGACACTGATGACGTCACCGGCATCCACATCGTCATCGTCATCATCACTAATTACGTCATCATCAGTGATGATGATGACGATGCGGATGCCGGTGACGTCATCAGTGATGATGACGATGACGATGTGGATGCCGGTGACGTCATCAGTGATGATGACGATGACGATGTGGATGCCGGTGACGTCATCAGTGACGATGACGATGTGGATGCCGGTGACGTCATCAGTGATGATGACGATGACGATGTGGATGCCGGTGACGTCATCAGTGATGATGACGATGCGGATGCCGGTGACGTCATCAGTGATGATGACGATAACGATGTGGATGCCGGTGACGTCATCAGTGATGATGACGATGACGATGTGGATGCCGGTGACGTCATCAGTGATGATGACGATGACGATGTGGATTCCGGTGACGTTACCGACATCCGCATCGTCATCGTCATCATCACTGATGACGTAATCAGTGACGTCACTGATGTCGTCACCGGCATCCGCATCGTCATCGTCATCATCACTGATGACGTCGTCAGCGACGTCACTGATGACGTCACCGACATTCGCATCGTCATCGTCATCATCACTGGTGAAGTCATCAGTGACGTCACTAATGACGTCATCGGTACCCGCATCGTCATCGTCACTGATGTCATCATCAGTGACGTCAGTGATGACATCATCGGCATTAGGGGTCACGTGACCCCCCAAGGTCACGTGACCCCCCCTGGTTAGTCTAACCCCCCCCCCCCAAGCGCCCTTTCCTCCTCCTCCTCAAGAGCTGCGCTCTAATTCGGCGTTACAGGGAGTTGTAAGCGGCTTTCACTTTTTTTTACTTTAGTTTTGCTTTTATTGTTTGCATTTATTTTTTAACCGGAGGTACATTTCAAATAGATTCTATTCATTTTTATAAACCACGGTGGTCGCGAGCCGTTGCGATAAGGAGATAGCGCCATCTATCAATACGAACGCCTAACACACCCCGCTACAGGACCCTGTCGTCTGCGTTGCTGCCCGCCGTAGACCCTGGCAAGTTTCTTGGCCTTATTTTTTACAGAAAGAGAGCCACGCTTTGTAATTTTAGAAGAAAAAAACGACCTGTGAATTACACCTTTGACGAAAAGTTTAGATGGCTACGTGCAGGCGTCGATTTTTACGGTCCATTTTAGATGGAGCCTGGTGACTTGTACCAACCTATATATTTGCATCGCCAAATAAAGCGAAGCTCCATATGCTAGGATGCAAGACGTACGCCACCTCTAGTTTCGGTGACGGCCCTGCCAGGCCACCCCAACCAAGAGCTCTCCTAACATATTTAAAGCCCGTGCAATAGACCTTTGACATCATCACAGTGAGATTGAGCGCAGAAGGTAAAGAAGGCAGTTCACGGGCTTTTTCCAGTCTAGGTGGTTGTGCCCGAGCCCAATAAAGACACACTGCTCACTCATAATGCAAAAGACACCGTGCTCACTGCAGACACGATGCCAAAATTATATGGGGCGCGAATCGAGCATGTTCTAAACATGTTTGATTGACACGTGTCTGTAGACATTTTTTGTGTGATCAATCTGACAAGGAAGCCTCAGACAGTGTCAGCAGACTTTCTTTCGCTGATGTATCAGCGGTGCGACCTCGGCTTGACAGTTCACGTTCCCCAGCCCGACAGCGTCGAGACGCGTTCGTACCTTGAGCAGCCCCATGTAGAGGAAGTACTGGATGACGGTGAAGACGGGCACGTAGAAGTCGAAGTGGTGCCTGCTGTCAATGATCGGGTCCGGGCTGTGGATGTACTGGCGGCCGAACACGGCGGCGGCGAAGAAGGAGTAGGTGGCCATCGTCACCACCTGGGCGGGTAGGGCGGCGAGGTGTTGAGGTAAACACCTCGTAGCTTAAGAAGGCTGTAGAGCTGGATTTGCTACGTCACCTACAGGAAACCAGTGATGTAGAACATCCTGCGCTACGGCCTCGTTAGCTAGAGAATGTTTGTGTGCGGGTGTCCAGGCGGCTGGCGGCTAACTCACCTGGGTGTAGACCAGGGGAATGCTGATCCAGTCGTAGCTCCACAAAAGGCCGCACTTGGCACGAAAGTCGTTGAACTCCTGCCGGGATTCAAGGAGAGGAAGAAAGGATAAGGACTCGGGGGTTTTGAACACGTGGCATTGCGTCGTTTAGGCATATCTCCAGACGCGACGGGACGCGCCTTGGTTTAGATTTGTTTCGGGTTTCCGAGAAGTAATTTTAGTGTTACCAAGATATGGCTGCGAAGAGCCGTCCGTGGGCGCTGATTTACTAATATATGACACTTTCGTGTTACACTCGCTACTATTTGCAATGTCGCAAATTCGATCTCTAAGGTCAATTCGTCTAAGCACCACGCTTGGGCCTAAGCGAAAATCGGTTCAAGATATATGTCGTCTAGCTCGTGCGAAACAAAAGTTAGTTTCACAGCTTTACCTAAAAAAAAACGATTAGAGTTTGAAACGTTGGCATAACAGAAAATGGTTCTGAGTTTTCTTCATATTGTCACGGGTGGTGATTCGTGACCAATAAACAAGAAATAAACACAAATAAATAAACGTTTAATGTGGCGAACTTGTGCCAAAAATAAAGAAGGAAACAGAAGAAAGCAGAGCGTCGCGGGCGTCGAAGTCGGCGTGTCAGCAGAATCGAGCGCTAGGGCGAGACTGACTCGACAAGGTCGCGGGCGGCCTCTTATCTAGAGTGCGCCGCTATCTCGAAGATTCGGCGAAAGCGGTTCGAGCGTCGCGTGATCGGGGCGAGAGTGAACACGCACTTTCTAGAAAACAAAAGCAGGGATAAATGATAGAAGTTACGTGCGGTACATGAATAAACGGGAACTTTCTGGAGGACCGTGACCGAGCGTTGCTTTCTCAGCCTTGCGCGCGGCATTACTCCCCCCTTTAAAAGTGCATCGCCCCGATGCAGTGTAAAACAAATCAAAATAAAAAAAGAAACCAAAGAGTCTTTTGGAGCACAAAAGGTCCACAGTCCTATCGAGCGTAGTACGGCTTCAGGCGCACGACGTGGACGACCTCAGGTCGTGGTGGGCGGCGTGACGATGTTCGTGTTCCGTCGGGCATCACCTCGTAGTTCAGATCCCCGAGTCGACGAAGCACTTTGTAGGGTCCAAAGTAACGTTTCAGGAGCTTCTCGCTGAGACCGCGGCGGCGAATCGGTGTCCACACCCACACCCTGTCTCCGGGCTGGAAGTGGACGTCCCGACGACGAAGGTTGTAGCGGCCAGTGTCGACACGTTGTTGAGCCTGAATCCGAAGTCTGGCGAGCTGACGGACTTCTTCTGCCCTTTGGGCAACCACCTGGGCGTCGTCACTTGCGTCGACAGCCACTTCGTGGGGTAACATAGCGTCCAGCATTGTCGTTACCTTGCGCCCATGCACCAGCTGAAAGGGTGTCATTCCGGTGGTCTCTTGTACGGCCGTGTTGTAGGCAAATGTGACGTACGGCAGCACCTCGTCCCATGTCTTGTGCTCCACGTCGACGTACATGGAGATCATATCGGCGATGGTCTTGTTGAGTCTCTCCGTTAGCCCGTTGGTCTGCGGGTGGTACGCCGTGGTGCGGCGATGGCTGGTGTGGCTGAGACGAAGGACTTCTTGCGTCAGCTGGGCCATGAATGATGATCCACGGTCTGAGATCAGGACTTCGGGAGCGCCGTGCCGGAGGACGATGGATTCAATGAAAAACTTGGCAACTTCCACAGCAGTTCCGGAAGGAAGGGCTTTCGTTTCGGCATACCGCGTGAGATAATCTGTGGCGACGATGATCCAGCGATTTCCCGACGTCGACGGCGGAAAAGGGCCAAGTAGATCCATTCCGATCTGCTGGAAGGGTGCTGTTGGCGGAGGAATTGACTGCAAGAGTCCGGCCGGCCTCGTCGGAGGTTTCTTTCGTCGCTGGCATTCATGACATGATCGCGTGTACAGGTGGACGGTTTTGGGGAGCTTGGGCCAGTAATACTTTTCACGAATACGTGCCAGGGTCCGGCTGTAACCAAGGTGTCCGGACGTCGGGTCGTCGTGGCAGGCTTGAAAGATCTCCTCCCGAAGGTCGGTCGGGATTACCAGCAGCCATGGCGAGTTGTTGTTCCCGAAGTTCTCTTTGTAGAGTACACCTTGTCTAATGGCGAAGGTCGGCAGCGCTCGTGAAAAAACACGTGGCACGGTACTCCCGCGCCCTTCCAGGTGCTCTATTAGTGCGCGCAGCTCAGGATCGTCTCGTTGACGCCGGGCCATGTCGTAGATGTTCACTGCGCCCAGAAAACACTCGTCGTCATCGTCGTCGCTGCTGCCGGAAGGTGTTGCGACGGGAGCTCTGGACAGGCAGTCGGCGTCGCTGTGCTTGCGGCCTGACTTGTAGACGACGGTCATGTTGAACTCTTGTAGTCGGAGACTCCACCGCGCGAGGCGTCCTGACGGGTCCTTCAGGTTCGCAAGCCAGCAAAGCGAGTGGTGGTCCGTGACTACCCGGAACGGGCTCCCGTATAAGTACGGACGAAACTTCGTGATTGCCCAGACGACCGCAAGGCATTCTTTTTCAGTCGTGGAGTAATTTCTCTCCGCCTTGGTCAATGTCCGACTTGCGTAGGCGATGACTCGCTCGGTGCCTTCTTGTACTTGAACCAAAACCGCGCCAAGCCCTGCGTTACTTGCGTCCGTGTGAATCCCGGTTTCCGCATCCTGGTCGAAATGTCCAAGAACAGGAGGAGTCTGCAGTCGTCGCTTCAGCTCGTCAAATGCCTGCTGCTGTTCATCGGCCCATTCGAACTTCTCGGCGTCCTTCGTGAGGTGTGTGAGCGGTGCGGAAATTCTTGCGAAATCTCGAACGAAGCGCCGATAGTAGGCACATAGCCCAAGGAACCTTCGGATGGCCTTCTTGTCTCTTGGCGCTGGGAATGCTGCGACGGCACGAGTCTTCTCGGGGTCTGGGCGGACACCTTCGTTACTAACCACGTGGCCGAGGAACTTCAGTTCGTCATAAGCGAACCGACACTTTGACGGCTTCAGGGTGAGTCCGGCGGTCCGTATGGCTTGGAGAACTGCTCGGAGTCGTCGCAAGTGCTCGTCGAGGTCGCTGGAAAACACGACGACGTCGTCGAGGTAGACGAGACAGCTCTGCCACTTCAGTCCTGCCAGTATGGTGTCCATGACACGTTGGAAAGTTGCTGGCGCCGTGCACAGTCCGAAGGGCATCACTTTGAACTCGTAGAGTCCATCCGGCGTGACGAAGGCTGTCTTTTCTCGGTCCCTTTCGTCGACTTCGATCTGCCAGTAGCCGCTCTTCAGGTCCATCGATGAGAAATATCGAGAGTGGCGCAGCCGGTCTAGAGTGTCGTCGATGCGGGGGAGTGGGTAGACGTCTTTCTTCGTCACCGTGTTCAGCTGCCGGTAGTCTACACAGAACCTAAGCGTCCCGTCTTTCTTCTTAACCAGTACGACTGGAGAGGCCCAGGGACTGCTTGAAGGTTGAATTATGTCGTCGTTCAGCATTTCTTGAACTTGCTCCTGGATCGCCTGCTTTTCCTTAACGGAGACTCTGTATGGCGATCGATGCACAGGGCGCGCGTCGTCCTCGGTAACGATGCGGTGCTTCGCAACGGTGGTTTGGCGCACCTTCGACGACGTGGCAAAGGAGTCGCGGTATTCGGCGAGAAGGTTAATCAACTGTCGTCGTTTCGGGCCCGGGAGTTTAGGGTCAATGTCGAGCTGCGCTGGCGACGCACTGTCTTGCTGAGGTGGCGAGAATTCGTCAGTAATGGCGGCGACAGCGGCAGAGTTTTGGAGTTCCTCGACCTGGCCCACGGCTGCACCTTTTGTGAGGTGTTGCGCTTCGTTTCGGAAGTTCGTGACGAGGACCACAGTGCGGCCATCCTGAAGTTCAGCAACTCCTCTTGCGACGCCTATTCCTCTTCCCAGAAGCAACTGGAGGCTTCCTTCGAGCAGAACTTCGCCGCAGAAATCTTCGGTGATCCCGACGGGTACGAAAACACTCGACCGCGGCGGTAAGTTAACGTGGCTGGCGAGGACTCGGACCGCAGATGACGTCGCTTTGGGTTCCTCCGGTGGTGAAACAGGCTTTCGCAGCGTCAACCGGTTTGCTCCGAGGTCGATGACGGCGCCATACTCGCAGAGGAAGTCCATTCCGAGGATAACGTCCCTCGAACAGTCTTGCAGAACGACGAACTTGACAGGGCACGTCTCACCGTGGATCTCGACGCGAGCGGTGCATCGCCCGATTGGTGTGATGAGGTGCCCACCGGCGGTTCGTATTTGAGGTCCATCCCACGGCGTCGTGACTTTTCGAAGGCGGCGGGAGAGCCTCCCACTCAAAACTGAGTAGTCTGCACCGGTGTCCACGAGTGCCGATGCGTTGTGGCCGTCGATGATGACGTTTAGGTTGTTGGACACCGTTTCAGGAGCGTCGTTTCGGTCTCCGGTAGCGTTCGAGTGGGGGCCCTCCGACGTTCGTGGAGGATCTTGGCGTCGGTCGTCTTCGGCAACTCCACCTCCAGGGGTTGCCGCGCCTAGTTTCCCCGGCGTGGAGCAAGGGGCGACAGGCTTTCACGTCGGGGTCGGTGCATCGGCGAAGCTGGACGTCGTGGTGAAGGCGATCGGAACTCTCGGCGGGACGCAGGCTCGGGGGACTGGGGTTGTCGCAAGTACTCGTCGATCTCCCGAGGGCGTTCACCATACCTGGGACGCGGGTCGCTTGGGTGGAATCCGCGCAGCCCGAGTCGTCGGTATGGGCATCGGCGGTACACATGGTCAGCTTCCCCGCAGTGGTAACACAGCGGGCGTCGGTCGGCCGTCCTCCAGACGTCTGTCTTCCTCGGTGCAGGTCGGTCTGGGTGAACGTGCGCTTGATCTTCCTGTCGTCGGGGGTAATGCGGCGTTGGGGCGTCTCTTCGGGGTGGCGACGTGGCTTGGCGGGGGGCTTGCGGCGGTCGTCGGGCCATTGCGGCGTAGCTCAACATCGGTTCCTCCGGTGCCACCGTGGTGACGGGAACCTCTGGTTGGAGCGCCCGATGCACTTCTTCGCGCACAGCCTCGGCAATGGAGCG